ACTTGGACAAAAAGCCTTTTTTTCTGTTTGGGTAAGTACAGTGCTAGAAACAAATTGGGAAGAGAAGTGAAGAATAAAATCAGTTGGATTACTCGGGAGTTTGTGACAGTTAATTACAGCATTTGTGTAATTCTTCACTTAGCAATTATTTTAATTTTTGAGGGGGGGTGTCGTGAGTGTCATAGTTCCTAGTAGTATCTTCCTACTCTTTTATGATGTCTGTGCTTCTCTTGACTGTCTAAAAAGATTGCTGGTTATTCCAAACTAATTAAATCTTGGACATTAACTGGCTCAGAAGGCAGATGAAATAATTTCAAACATAATGGAGTCAGGTTTCCATACCTCACTACAGTAATTCTGTTCTTTTGATTCATAAAAGGTAGCTAGCTATTCATTGACCAGTTCTGGTAATAAAATGCCTGTCTAGCCTTATGCTGTCAGTTAAAATTTTGGGGTTCTCTTTCCAGCAAGGAGCTGATGGCTTCATATATAAAAGATAGCTCTGTCCATGTGGTTTGTGAAAAGGACAGGAAACTTCATGTTCCTTCTTCTATGAGTATGCTCTAAGTGAAATTCCAGGCTTGTGGAGCAGTGGGTTGGTAGTACTCCAGTTTTGTTGAAAGAGCATCACGTGTGGCCCAAAGCCGACACAATACCCATCCCTTACACCCATTTTAGGATTGTCTGCAATATTCAGTAGTGTGTCTTAGTTTCCTATGGGCCCATATTTATAAGTCAGCATGCTAAATGTAATTGAGGTGGAGGAGGGAGCATCTGAAACAAGAACATTAGATTAGTGGTATTAATTTATGTGCAGCTTGTCTGATGAACCTGATAGCATCGGATGTGTTAGGCTGGGTCTTTCCAATGTCTGTAGTGATTATAAGGTCTGCAGAATCTGCTTTATCAGACTCACACCTAGGAGGAGTGTCTGAGGTAGTTGTTTATGAACCTTAGCTTTCCTGGTCTGCCCTCTAGATGCAACCCATTAATGCCCGATGTGAGCTGCGCTTGGATTGTATGCTGGAAAGCATGCTTGTATGCTGCTAAGCCAGTCCTTTAAAAGAAGCCCCATGTTTTTTTCAGGGGACCTCTGCTCCATATATAAATCCATGAGGAGAAGGAAGCAGTAGTTTGGAGCAGGTATTGCTCCACATCTTTGCTGACCCTGAACCAGACTTCATTTCATCAGTGGGGGTGGTTTCTGTGTGCTGTCAGCTAATCAGCTGTTGAACTTTAGTCAGCAGCAGTGCAGAGAGGAGTTTAAAATTAAGCTGCCAAGAGCAACCACACTGGTCTTAGTGCAGTGTTTCTTGTATCTGCATGATCCACTCCCATGACTAGTCAGGAAACTATCTCCCACTATATTGTGACTTGGTTCTGTAGGCTGCTAATAAATAGCAGTATCAGCTTTCTGTTGCTTGCTGATTTGTTTTCACTTGTGGGGAAATACAGTATTCTATCAGAAGTTAAAATGAAGGGATCTGTCATAGGTATTCAGTGCAACTAAGAACTGCAAACTGATTAAAGTGATTGTTTACCATTGTGATAAAATTCATAGTATGTAATCAAATCTTTTCTGAAATGGAAAATGCCTTAAAATTCAAAACACTTGTCTGGAAGTTGCAATAACTAGGACAATTAGCTTGCGTAACAGGCTTTTGAGAGAAATTACAGCTATTGTTTTATTGCTGTTTGGGACTTGAAATATACTGATCAGAATTGAAAATGAGGGAGTTTTGGTTTATTCCATAATTTGTCTTGAGAGAGAGTGAGCCTTATTCAAATCTTAGCATATATATATCTCATTGATTCAGCTCAGTAATGTCAATGGAAGGTTGAGGTATACTTTCCTTGGTTCCCTTTCTGAGAACACTGATAATTTTATGAAAAATAATGACTAAGTGCAAGAGTGATGGTGTTTCACTTTTTAAGGCATTGTTGTGTGGGATCCCTTTCAGTATGTAACATTAGTATTTTACTGTGATTTTTTTTATTTCATTGTAAAATTTTTAGAATTAATAGATTTTTATGCAATTTCAGAGACTCAAGGTAAAAGTTTTTTCATAGAATTTAGTAAGGACTTCAGTCTTAAACCCTCATGCCGTGGAAACCTCAAGCTTCTATATCTACATAGATTCTATAAAAATCTGATTTAATAGAAAAGTTTGATAAGTAACTTTTTGACAGTGATAATTACTTTTTTTTTTTTTTTTTACATAAAACATTGAATTGAGGTGAAATTAGCTATTTACTGATGGTTTAATTGAAGATCTTTTAGCTGTTTATAGACAGGGTGGATAAGCCCTAATGATGGCTCACCACTTTCTCCTAATAAACAAATTATAAAGTGCAAGTTTTGCCTGTTATGGGGTATAAACTGGCTGCCACATGTGATTGCTTAACCTCTGCCTTGCTCCATTTGATTTGGGGAGGTGTTGGTGCTGGTTTTGGTACTGTGCTGCTGTGTTATTAGTACAACCAGTTTAATTTTCCACTTGAGAAGAAGGCCCAGTCTTTTCTGTGTGCGCTTTTTTCTGCTACTTTGAAATTACAGAAAAGCTAGAGCTTCCTGCATTTGATAGTTGAAATAGTAAAACTGTGCATTTTAAAGTTGTGTATACAACTTCAGTTTTCTATTTATGATTTCCTGAAAGGCAGCTCTTTAACGTGGATACGGATTTTGCATTGTTGAGAGGTGTGGAGAGAATAAATTTAAAGCAGCTGCTTTGCAATAACACCGATATTTTTTCCTAGTAAGCACCAAGTACTTTAATTCATGCTACATGAAATTTTAATGAAAAATGCAAGTTTAGAAGGAAGTCTGTTTCACTGTTAGATATGCCGATAGAATAGAACTTCTCCTCATCTTTGTTAATTCACTAGATTTCTCTGCTGAAGTGCTGTGTCCTCAAAATCGGTTTCGGGTTTATCACCAGCTCAGGAAAGGCTTGGTTACACAAAGATGTTCTGAACAGTTAAGGTGCATCAACTGAAAGAGCAAGGTTTAGTTTGCTATAGCGTAATCCTCTCAAGGCCAGTTTACATCTGAGGAGTACTGTCTGTGGAAGTGTTCACTGATTTACACCTCCTGAATTTCTGATTCACCACACCACCACCATAACATCCCCGTGCTTCAACTTTGCTTACTGATTACATGTTGGTGTGTCTGAAGGCACAGCGTGACATCCTACTGAGTTATGTGTGACGGTATGAAGACCAGACCCAGTAATTTTTGTTGGATCTGTGATCATCTTGTGTTGGCCAACTCGGGTGTGTCCATATCACCCTCCCAAGACCAGGAATGTGCCGTATGACCAGTAAGGAGGCAGGAAAGCAGGGATAGTGGTTCCATCTGGTGGAAAATGGTAGCATTGGTCAGGATGAATTTCAGTATGAGGACAGAAGCATAGCTCAGATGAAATAAAGTTATAAACAGCTGATGTGAAATGTACTGCTAAAAATAACTGATACTTAAATGCACTCATTCTGATGTACTTTTAAATATAACTGTGTTTATTAAATATGGCTTTTTATTTTTAAAAGCCTCTTAAATGATTTAGTTAATTACACTTACAGTATAAATATACAAACAAATTACCACAGTCATTATTTCCTGATCCATGGCAGTTGCCAAAGTGTACACACTCTATAGTTTGTGGCATGTGGTAATTTGCCTGAGAGTATCCATCTGTGGAAGAGAACTTCAGTTCCTTTGCATTTGCTGAGCAGCAGGAATGCTCATGGATGATTGCTGTAGACTGGGTGGCTTAGGGCTATCTGCTTGTATGAGTTATCTGATTTGAGGTTCGGACAAACTTCCGGCAAGTAAATACCTGTAACACAGTCTTCCCAGTGTGTGGGTTGCAATGGTATTGTAAACTGTATGTGTCATGCTTTATAATTGCAAAAATATACCCACACCCACTTGTTGATGCCAAATAATTCTAATCATGAGCATGGAAAGGCAAAATAGTTGTTTGGCTGGAAGAATGTGGATGGACTGTTTGAGGGGTGCTGTCAAGGTAGAGTGTGATTGGAAGCATGAACCTGTACAGCTGGTACTTGATAAAACTTAAGAGAGGAAAAGGCATGGCCTACATTGACAATTAAAAATAGAGAGGGTTGCATTTTCTTCTGGTGACAGCTTTAAATCTGAGCACAGTTCTTGTCTTTTGACATGTCTGCAGTCTCTTGATGAAATATGCGTTAGTGAATTACGCAACTATATGTTTACTTGCAAAGGAAGGTAATATTAGTACTGAGCAGTAAATATGTCCTTTACTGAAAATATACTTAGAAGTGGTTAATTTTTGAATATGAAATTTATTTTCTGTTAATCTTTTCCCTGCCAGCCTAAACATGTCAAATGTCTAAGTGCTGGCTGCTGCAGTCCCTTTGAAGCAGAGTTTGGAGCTCATGTGACAATGCTGCATCATTTTGGAATGTGAAGCCAGTATAAAAAATAAAACCAAAACTCCCCCCATTTTTTTTTTTTTTGGAAGCAGAGAGGAGAAAGGGAAATACAGCTTAAACCTCTGCTGGCTTCTGTATTTATAGTGTTCCGGGTGGGATCATTTCCAGGATGGATGATCTTCAGTTGGGATTGTGTGAACCAGCTCTTACTCCTATGGGACTTGAGCTATCAGGGTTTCAGCAGTACTGTTTGTGTAAAGCCGTTTGTGATCTGTTTTATATTATGCCTTTTATTCTCTAGCTTTTGCTTGCAACTTCTTGGGGCCAAAGAACACTACTGAGTATGCACTACTCAAAGTTTCCAACAGAAAAGAGAGTGTTGGTCTTTGTTAAACGTTCTTTGCTTTCTCATTTGCCTACAGGAATTGCCGTATGCATATAGAAGGCTTTGGCTCTGCCTTAAGTTCTTGATTGACGCTTCCTGCTTGCTAGGGGTAGTTATGCTTTTACATCAGCTGCAAATGGTTATGAGTTATTAACTGACTATGAGACCTCAAGCCAAGCATCTTGTGTTCCCTTTGCAGAAACGCAGCTGAATGGAGCTTAAAGGGCCACAGATGAAAGAACTTGAACACGTTACTGAAGGTTTAAGATGTGTCTGACAGTGACCTCCTTACCTTAGTAATAAAGAAGAGTTTTTCAACAGGAGCTTAGGATATCTTTACTCCAACTTATTAATATACTAACTGGAATCGTGTTTTGACAACAGTTCTCCGTAGTAAAGTACTTACCCTACTACAGAACAGTGTTATTTTCTCTACTGATAATGCAACTCAATGGAGGAAAGTAGTGTTTTGATAAGCATGCGTGAAGATCGTTCCTTTCATGTGCGATACAGGTAAGACTGTTAATTTTAGTATGGATAAGTGCTGTTAATAATAGAAAAGTAAACATGTTGCAAAAAATAGTTTGGTGTCTCTCTTACTAGTGTTATTGAAACTGAAAGCTAAAATAACTTTTATCGATTTTTAAACTATAAAAATTCACATTTGTTATATAGTAGATTATATTAGTATAATTACCTGATTATATAGTATTGGAACTGTGTGCAGTTGCAGAATAGTACATGATTGTCTGTATTTCTTTGTGTTTCTGATAGAATGGTATGAAGTATCATCCCTGCACAGTAATACTCTCTCTCCTTTTAGCTTTTGGAGTTTTGCCTGCTGAAGTTCTCTGTACTTGTCCCATTATTGCTTCTATGAATTACAAATTTTTAGGTGTGCTGCCATTTAGAACACTGTTTTCCTTGCCTAAAATAAAGAGATTTGATTGATATATAAAAACTGCTTTGATACTTTGGACTAAAAACGTTCTGTTATTGCAAGTCAAGAGGATATGTGATTTCCCTTCTGAGAGCTTTTACGATTTTTCTTCTGAAACCCCGTTTACAGACATGGGACGACATGTTTGCATTGCAGACACCCTCTAATGAACCTGAACAGCAGAAGCACTGTGTAGGGTATGGTATTTGGATGACTGGTGTTTGGAAGGGTACATCCTGCAGCTCATTCAATAGGAAGGGACACTGGAACACTGGAATGATTGTTTTAAAAGCAAATAAAAAGCGTGATTCTTGGCATGTTTTCCCCCCACCCTCTCCAGTGGTCATTCTTGCTTTGGAGGCCTTTTCCTTGATAGCTAATGGGAACAAAGCACTACCCTTGTTTGTAAAACAGCACATGCTACAGCTTGTATTCTGAAAACATTCTGACACTGTTAGACTGCTGTTAGATTAGTCTAAATTTCTGTTTTGTAGAAGTACAGTGTTAGTTCTGGTTAGCAGTGCAGTCAGCAGGAGGAGCCTTTTCATGATCAGTAAGGAGAAAAATAGCAAATAAACTCTAATTCACTCTTGCCTTTGTTTTGCTAAAATCTCTATGAGGTGGCTTTGACAGCAGGAATCCATAAGTGTGTGATCATGGTGTTTCTTGAATGTAGCTAACTCTCAGCATTTCTGTAATGTGTTTATCCATGCTATTGCTGATGTGCTTGGGTCCTCCCCAGACAGCTGTGGAAGAGCCTTGCTCACTCCTGAATAGCAGCAGGAGCTGCTCAGGGTACTATTATGGAAGTAAATGGATGAAGAAAGCATCATGGCCAATTGTCTGGTTTAAACTGACAAGCCAAAAATAACTTCAGAAGTATTGGCAAGCAGAGTCAGGGCAAAATGTCTTATTACTTCATGCTGTATTTCAGTATGGGCTTCAATGGCACTGATTAACAATAAAAATATTAATAGCATGTAAGAACTCTAGTCAGTTGAACATTAAAAAACATAATCCCTTTAATTTTCTTTTAAATATTAAACTTTTCTAAAAGTTAGAGAGACTGCAAATTAGTTGACTATATTGAACTGGAATTTCATGATACTCTAGCTATAATTTGGAAAGGTTTTGTTTGGCTGTAGTTTAAAATCTAATGCAGGAAAGAATAGGCCATAAATTACAGGGAATGATGGTGTTATTTATCAGTTTTTAAAATTTTTTACCTACCGGTATTGTCTCAAGCTGGCCTGGCTCTCCGACTGCTTTTTCCTTCCCACCAGTATTCCAGTAGAACCGACTTTAAAAAGAAACTGGTGGCCCACTCCTAAGGAAGGGCTTTACTATGGGTCTGTTACTGTGCAAGCTGTTTCTTTCTCCCCACTCTAGTTGACCAGTATCAATTTAGCAGCTATAAAAATTCTTATGCTGGTGGAAGGAAACTGTTTTTTATTCTTATGTTGTTTAGTGACTGAAAATAAAATGCTGAAGTTAATAAATGGAACTCATAAGTAATCTATAGAGTAAATATTTGTAGAATTCACTTGTCTTGGCCTGCTAAATTTATACACCAAAAACTTGAAACTGCTTTTATCTTGACCAGAGCAAAAGAACCCCAAATTGATGTGTGTGGTTTCTTTGTGAATGTGTGTGTTGTTTTGTTTCTAAGTTTGCCACCAAACTTAAGTTTGACTAAACACAGTGTTGCACTGGAGGTGTAGTTGAGTTTGGAGTGATCAGTGTGGTGTGCTTCTGCATTAGGTATAGAAACCAAGAATAAGGGCAGGAGTCAGTAAAGTATGTGAAGGTCATTACAGGATGCTGTGGCATTAGTAATTCTATGCATCTGAATTAAAGAGATATAATAGGGGTTTTTTGTGTCTAGGTATGTTATGTGTATTGACATGTTTTATGACAAATAGCGTGGCAGCACCATTCTCCCTCAATAGCAAAAAATCCTCTTAGTGGGAATTGAATGGAGTTAAACTAAATTAATTGTGTTTAGAGATTGTAGTAATCAATGAGCCTTCTTGCTGCCTTCTTTTGCCTTCTTAGCAGTTTTCTGTTCTTTATTGTAAGATGAGAACAGCAGACAGAAGGGAGACTGCAAAATGGGAGAAAAAAACAGGGAGGCTAGGGTGAAGGCCATCTGCATAGGGTTTATATTCTTGTAAGTATAAAGGTTCAAAACAGAATGTAAAGAAGGTCAGAGAAGAACGAGGCAGGGGGATGGTAGGGGGGGAGAGAAAAAAGAAAATGGAGCCAGGCAAGATGAAAAGCTTAGAGGGACTGATAAGGATGAGGTAGTTTTACAAATGAGAAATTATTCAGGAGATGCCAACCTTTCAGAGAACAGGTCCAGGCAACTATAAACAATAACAAAATGAAGCCCTGTATGAGTATTTCCACAGTAATATCTGGAAGAATATTATCCTGTTTAGCAGGAACAGAATTTCATTAGAAGTACACAGATGAATGGGCCTTGTTCTCTTCTCGGCTCTGGGGATTCAATGTGTCTTTTGTTTAGCCATCGGGTGTTGAATAAATAAGTAATTCAATTCAGCCCTGGGAACAGAGAAAGTAATTTCATATTCTCCTTGTAACTATTTAATGACTTCCTAAAACATTGATAACCTAGCCCTGTCTAGTTTGCTGACATGCTGTTTAACCATTCTTAGTGACAGTTAAAACAGCCTCTGAGAACATTCCTAAAAGATGATGGCTTTTTGACTAAAGAACGCTTATGCAATTTTTTTTTTCTTTAAAAAAAGTTGCGATAATTTTCTTAACAGTCCGTTAAGTAATGGAGGAAGAAAACCCAACCAAACCCAAACTTCCTCTGAGTCCAGTTTTGGTACTTGATGGATAAGCCTAGCAAACTTTTAAAATAACTAAATGATTTCATAGCTCTTACATAATGCAAATAAAATACGAATATTAGGTACAGGCAACTGTAGAAATACTTATTTTTCTCTACTTTTTTATAGCTTATTTAGACTTTGAAATTATAGAAGGTCAGTTAGAATGGATCAAAATGGAATTATAGCTTTAATTTGCTGTACAGAATTTAGCAACCTGTTAATACAACCTTTCAGGAGTTGCAGTCAAGAGTAGTGTTAAAATTTGGGTTTGTTTTTACGTAGACGTACTAATTCGCATTCTCATTTACTTCCTGTAATTCTGGTTGATTTGAAACACTCTAATAACAGCTGATTTTCATCAGTCTGGGTATAAGCATTAGCTTCTTAGTCATTTGCATTCTGTGTGGAAAACACCAAATCTTTCATTTTTTATAAGTTAAGTCTGTGATTGTGAAGTCAGAAGATTGTTTCAAGTTCCTTGATGGACTGGTAACACTCCCTTGGCATTTGGCAGTCTTTGGCATAGGGTGAAGTTGGTTGAATGCAGTATATCAGGAAAATTACTGGTCCATAGCATTCTCGGATCTTGACTTTGGATCTTTTTAAACTGTGCCTTTTCTTCCTCTATTAGGCGGCTCATGCATCACAGTTGCAAATCAAAACATGAATTTTTTTAATGGGATAAATTCACTTAGAGAACTGGAGTCCGGTATAGCATTTTGACTGTTACATGTGACGTATGCATTTTGCAGAAAGCTCTACCCTTTTTAGCTGTGCAAGCTAAAGAAGTGACTGTGATTGTGTAATGGTCTAAATCTTCTCACTGAGGAGCACCATGTTTTCTAGCTGCCACTTTAATTGGACATGTCAGTTAACATGAGGTGCCCGGAGAGAACCTCTTTGGATAGGATTAAGATTACCCAGTGAAGTGGTTTAAGTCTTAAGCCTTCAGTTGCTGATGGTGTAATCATTTCTGCCTGTACTTAATCTTTTCTGCCTTCTTCTGTCTTACATTCAACACATGCACAATGTACTAAAAACCAGGGTGTGTGTTCTGGCAAATAGGAATGCTTTAACTTCTCAGAGAAGAGTTTCCAAACCTGAAAATACTGCATGTGTTATGGATATCCAACCTGAGAAGTTGGGCCTGGGTAGAACTTCATGCCCGCATTATCATTTGCTGTCTGCATCTTTACCGACTACCAAGCATACAGTATTTTTAATTGTTAAATATGTCTGTCATTTCATTATGCTTAAGTTGTGGAATGTCGAAGGCCAGCAGGTATGGTACTGTTTGTGTTGGTAGCTTATTTTACTTATCATCCAAATTCTTCTAGTTCTCTTGCAAGTCAGTGGATTTTTCAAAAATATTTCCTTCTTGCTCAGGTTTGAGTAGAATGTTGTATAACCTATTTTTTTTTTTTTTCGGATTTAGAAAAATGAAATATAAACATTGCAGATATGTCATTCTTCATCACTATGTCTTGTCAAAACAGCTGTCTTCTGGTGTTGCCATTAAAATAACTTTTAGAACAGCAAACATTTGATTGTTGCTGTTACTGATCTGTGCATATGAAGGGAAACAGCTTAATTCTAAATGGCTTATTCTTACAACCAGGTAAATATTAAATGATGTAATGAGGATATCTTTAATTACATAAATTGTTCTGAAGTGCGAGCCCTTATGTTTACGGTATAATCCATCTTGAAGAAAAATTCAAAACAATATACAAATTTATGAAGTTGATGTCCAGTTTTTTCCAATATTGATACACACTTTGTAAACACTTAAAGATATGTCTCTGAGTTTACTTTTTGAAGTCTTTTACAAGTAGAATGATGGTGGTTTTGTGAGATTTTAAAAATGCATTTATCTTGAAAAAGCTAGAGGACCGTATTGCTTCAACAGCAAGACCCTGAAGTCTTCTTCCTTCTCATCCTCTCCTCTACCCCCCTGCACCTTGGAACTGGAAAGCAGGAAATGTTTGTATATAATCGCTAACTCTTATTGAAATGTTGTTGCCTTTTGTACACCTGAATTGACGGGTTTTGGCAGCTGCAGTTCTCTAACATTTGTTCATTGTTCAAAATGTAATCTTCCGTAAACTCCTATAAATTAATTAAGTACCTTCTTTACTGATGGCAGTATTTTGTACCTGTGTAATTTCACAATTATTTGCTCATAATAATCAAAAATATTCCAGTGGCTTCTGGAATGATGGCATCTCAGTTAAGTAACTTGAATTGACATACGTTTTGTCTTTAATTCAGTCTAGATCTTTTTTCTTTACATTCAGAATTTTCCTAGCCGTGCCACTACAGGAAATGATGAAGTGACAAGGAGTATTGAATTACTTAAAAAAACAACTTTGGGAGAAATAGGCATGGTCTTTGATACACAGTAATATTTGAATTTTAATATTTTTTTTTCTATACAACATTTGGCAGGTAGCTATGGCATCAGCCTCAAAATAAAAGTGCTTATGTTTTTCAAAATCAGCATTTGCCAAGCATAGCTTGATTTTTCGGTTATTTTTCTGAAATTATCTAGATAGTGAAAATGCAGTTTTGAATCCTGCAGGTGCTATATGTGCACAAAGCAGTGTTTGGATTCCTTCCCTGAGACTTAGAAAGAAAGGAAAAAAAAAAAAATTGAAGCTGTTTGTTCTGATGTTGTGTTTGCTCATCAGTGTTGAAGTTGCAATTTCCATTTCAGCATTAGTTTCCGTAATGTTATAGTAGCAAGCGCACTGCTTGTACCATGGTGCTGACTCCCTGTTCTGAACAAATAGAGACCCTCTGAATAACATAACCTCTTTGGAACTCAGGTTAGTGGACAAAGTACTACATTTAGAGTGACCGTTTTTCTTTCTACTTAAATTGTGCAGGATGGAGGCTTCCTGCCTAGAGCTGGCTTTGGAAGGCGAGCGCCTGTGTAAAGCAGGGGATTGCCGAGCTGGTGTATCTTTCTTTGAAGCAGCTGTTCAGGTTGGAACTGAAGATTTAAAAACACTCAGTGCTATTTACAGCCAGCTAGGCAATGCCTATTTCTACTTGCATGAATATGCAAAGGCCTTGGAATACCATCACCATGATTTAACTCTTGCCAGGTAATCTTGTGTCTTTTAACGATGTTCCCCATTTCATCCCATTCTTGTAGAGATGAGCAGTTGACTCTTCATTTTCCTAAACAAACCCTGCTGTTAATACCAGATAGTGATCGAGTGTGGTGATGGCAGAGGTCCAGGGACTCTGGCAGGTAACTTGAATGCCCTTTAACCTGGGGGCTAGTACTCTGTCTGGCACTCTAATCCTCTACTGACAGAGGCCTCACGGGGCTTGTGGATAATTAAGTGGCTGCTTTAAATCCACCCTGTCCTGTTTCTGAAACAGTCTTTTTGGTTCTCCAGAATGTTAAGCTGGCTCTCTTGTATACTAGACAGAACTCATTCATGTTTCTCCGTGTAAAACTCATAGTATAATATTGTGAAATAATGACAGTCAAGTAAAATGCAGAAATAGTTAAACCTCTCTTTCCAATGCTGGAACTGTCTTTCTACATAGTCACTAAGAATTTTGTCTGTATTCTCTTCCTAAAAGAAGTGAGTTATTTTTTTAAAAGATCAATACCGTGAACATTAGCAGTTGCCCAAACAGCACCAACAGAATTAAATGTAACCACAGACTGAACAATGTTTATGTGAGTGAATTTTAGATACAAAATGAACTGAATGCACACGTATTTGCATGGTGGTAATCTCTTCAGATAAATTCTTATAAATGTCCGTCATACATTGATCACCTACTTGGTTTCAAATTATACACTATTTACCGGGTGCTTTAATTCTGCAATTTTAGGACAATTGGAGATCTACTGGGAGAAGCTAAAGCTAGTGGGAATCTGGGCAACACTCTAAAGGTACTTGGGAATTTTGAAGAAGCTATTGTTTGTTGTCAAAGACATCTGGATATTTCTAGAGAGCTTAATGATAAGGTAAGAACTGTTTAGGAACCTGGAAGAAAACTGCTAATGCCTATTACTGAATCCTGTTGTATTGGTAATGGGTGTGCCACCTTTCAGAGGGAAGTAAATACTGAATATTCAGTTATTTCTTCTTCAGAGTAAGAATCTGGTAGTTGTAACATAGTTGTTTTCACCTGGAAGGCTATAGATCCGGATTAATAAATATTATCCTGTTTTGTTTTTTTTTTTTGTGTCCTGTTTTGGTTTTTTGGTTGGTTGTTTTTTTGGTTTTTTTTTTTTTTTGTTTTTTTGTTTTTTTTTTCTTGGGGGGTGGTGTTGATGTTGCTTGTTTTGTTTGTTTTTATTTATTTATTCGTTATTTTAATTTGCAATGATAATTGGCCTCAGTAATTACCGTGTGTCTTGCAGCTCAAAAGGAAGTAGTATGCAAAACAGTCTGTTTGAGGGATGTCACTGGGTGGGAGATAACATGTTCAGAATGAGCAAAGCATGTGTTGACAACTAGTTAACAAACTTTTTTCCCCATCTGTGGATTGTACTCATAGTTGTCATCACACAGGACTTTGAAGCATAAAACTGTAATGCCTCATTGTACTTTTGGTTTAGGTTGGAGAAGCAAGAGCACTGTATAATCTGGGAAATGTGTATCACTCTAAGGGGAAGAATGTAGCTAGTGCTGGGACTCATGATCCAGGGGAACTTCCAGATGATGTGAAAAATGCTTTACAAAAAGCTGCAAATTATTATGAGTAAGTACTAGCTTTCAGTGTTGGGGATTGAGAGGATATGATCATCTACTTCATTAGGATATTGGGAGATTTGTGTGTGGTGACCTAACCTGTGGCACACTTCTATTCAGAACAGCAGTACCTGGGAATTTCTTCTCTTTTACATGGGGGAGTGCACTATTTTTTTGTTACACCCTCATTTGTAGTGTACCTCTTATTACCTGGTAAGTCCTTCGCTGATGTTAGAAGCCAGTACTACTCTTCAAACAAGACTGAGACAACAACAGGACCTCGGTATACTTGTATATAATATAGCTCTTCAACTAGATGCGAGCACACCAGCTTGAGAAAGAATGCAATTAAGTTTGGTATCTCACAGGAAATGTTTCCTACTCAGTGGAAGATTTATGCTTGCATAAAAGCCATTTAAATAGGCCAAAGTAGAACACCTCTTCCTTTTCCTTTATATAAATGGAAAGATTTTTTAAAACTTACTATTTAAATGACTGTGAGGAAAAAACCCCTTGTTATTATTTTTCCCCTTCTCACTTCCCCACAACAGGGAAAACCTGACAATAGTAACCAAGCTGGGTGATAGAGCAGCACAAGGACGTGCCTTTGGAAATCTGGGGAACACACACTATCTTCTGGGCAACTTCCGGAGTGCTGTTTTAGCCCATGAACAGGTACAACGATGTGCTCGTGAGGAATTCTGTTCTAGCAAAGTATCACTAATTTCTTCTGATCTTAAGTACCTGTATTCTGTTGGATCTCGCCGCAAGCGTTTTCATGTAGGGTTTAAATCTTAATGGCACAGCTTCGAGTTTGGCTGTTCTTTTTAAGCACTGTCGTCCTAAAGAACAGGTACAGACGCACAGTGGGAAAACTATGAGCATGCATTTCTGTATACAAACGTATGTTACAAAGTACAAAATTGAGTAAATAACACAATTATTTCACGTTTTAAAGCGTCTCCTAATTGCAAAAGAATTTGGTGATAGATCAGCGGAAAGAAGAGCATACAGCAATCTTGGAAACGCCTACATCTTCCTGGGTGAATTTGAAACTGCTTCTGAATACTACAAGTTAGTTGACCACTTATAGTTTATACCCCTTCTTGTACCGTTTACTTCTGCTGTGCCTGGTACTTTAGCTCACTGTAGAATAGCCATCTCTTCAACATATACCTAGAAAAGAGCTGCGTTTATTTAGCAGAAATAACAATTTTCCCTAGTTGTTTAACTACTTTGGTTCTTTTAAGGGAGAGGCAGGATTTATCCTTTTTATTTTCTTTACTTTTTTTGTCACTTTAAATAGATTCTTCTCAGCACTGTCGACATCTTTCTGTTGATAGGCATTTATTCCCCTTTATTCCAGAACCAGGTATTACTGTCTTAGCAAGTTCTGTAATGATCTGAATAACTTCAGTACACCTGAGATGGGTTGCTGTCTCAGGTGTCGTCACTAGCTGAGGTCAGTGGTGCACGTCAACATGATTTTACACATTTAGTCTGTATTTTCAAGCAAGACATTTTTCTTCATCTCTGTACCACCGTGCAGTTGCTGCTGCAACTTGGGAAAATACAAGAGAGTGTAGGTGTTACTGCACCTTATGTGGATCTCAGAGCTTACCCGTTGTTTTCGAAAAGGGAGAAAAATCCTCAATACTGAGCACATTCCTCTTAGTACTCAAATTCTTCTTACCCAGCCCGGGCAGGCCGGCTTGGTGGTTATAGGTCTGTCTTGCTCGTGCTGATGGAGAACATACAGTATTTATTGTAATGATGGTACTAAACTTTCAAGTGCATACTGTCAGCAAATCAGCTAGAAATTATTGATGAAGCAGTAAATTAAAATTAGAAGATGGTGATTGAGGGATCAGTCTGCCCTCTAATGTAAAGTAAATGGAAATAGGTTGCAGTGGAGGGAAGACAGACTCTTAACATTCTCTAAGAGTTTACAAGATAGTAATGTATAGCAGCTGATTTGCCAGCCCAGTGTCCTAATTTCTTTAATTTGTATAATTGATTTTTAGTTGCACAAGTATATTTTAAAAACTTTTCCTGACCATGATTTCTGAGGTGACTAGCCCTTTCTTCCAGGAGGACGTTACAGCTGGCCCGACAGCTTAAGGACCGAGCTGTGGAAGCACAGGCCTGCTACAGCCTGGGCAACACATACACTCTGCTGCAGGACTATGAAAGAGCAATTGATTATCATCTGAAACACCTTGTGATTGCTCAGGAATTAAATGATAAGTAAGCCCTAAGAGATTGTTTAATCTATGTATGACACTTAAACCAAATCTTGTGGCCTCTAACTCTGCTGTCACTGTTCTGTACGTGACAGCTGGATTAATGTGAATTCCCTCCAACGCTGGGCTCCAGTTTTCATAAGGGAAGAAAAAAAAGTCACTCATGAAGGTATTGCAGCTAATGAGTCTGAGATGAAAGAGGAATTGATGAGTGACTGTCTCTACATCATCTTCTGTCAGCATCTTCTTTGTGAAATAAGGAAGAGTAGATCTGTTTTTCGTTACTTCATTATAATAATTTGCATACCTTCACAAGAATACATCTACTTTTCCACAAATTAAGAATATGGGAAGGCATGGGAAAAGGAGAATAATACAGTAGCAACTAATGCTTATTTTATATTCATGATTTCTAAGGCCTTTTTTATGACATTGGGTAAAACTAAAATTTTGTACAACTTTTAAATGCACTTCTAACTCAATAGGCAGAATACATGAAGACCAGTAAGGCATGCCACCTGAGGAAAAGCCAAGTAGGTTATAAAATGTTCCATGCCTGCAAAATTGAGTGACTTATGTTTGCTGTGAGCTTAAAAATTAAATTTTTCTAGTAGATTTGCACATATTTATCATTATACCTAGAAGACACTCCTTTAAATATGATACTTAACATGTTGGTGTTGGAATGGTTTCTGATGGTGGCCTTCAGTTTTCTTGGCCCAACAATCTTACTGTGGAAGTATGATGAAAACCTGACCTCTAGTGTTCAGTGAATAGAGGTATAATTGAAAATGTGTTTATTTTTTTTCAGAATTGGTGAAGGAAGAGCATGCTGGAGTTTAGGGAATGCATATACTGCTCTGGGAAACCATGACCAAGCTATGCATTTTGCAGCAAAGCACTTGGAGATTTCAAGAGAGGTAAGATTTTCATGCTCTGCCTATGTTGGCTGTTGGTTTTTGCTCTCACTTACACAGCGATTTTTATGGGTGTGTCCATGCATGTGATTGTGAATAATGGAGTGGATTTTGAATGATTTTTGAGATAATTGGTTCTAAATTATATCAGCTGTGTCTCACTGCACCTAGCTCCTTAGTGCCACCTCTGAGAATGTCAGCGTGGAATCCATGTTAATAGCCTAGCAGAGGTTATTTTAGGCTTTGGTTTGTACCTTTTAGTAGTTAGGTACTTCATTAATAAGATTATTCTCTCAGTTTTTAGCCAGGAAAAAGTTTTCAGCCTTTTTCTCTCAGGAATCTAGGGGACAAGGTTTGCTTCATATTTACTTAAGTGTGTATTTTGCTACAGTAATAGAACTGCTTGTTTTATTTGGTTGCAGGTAGGGGATAGAAGTGGGGAACTCACTGCTAGGCTTAATCTCTCAGATCTTCAAATGGTTCTTGGATTAAGCTACAGCACAAACAACTCCATGATGTCAGAAAGCCAGGTGGTAGATAACAGTATGATCGGTACGTGCCTATTTCTGCAATACTTTCTAACAGTGATCTTCAAAAAGAATCTGTTGTTTGCATTGTTTTCTGACTACAGATGATTGAGTGCGCAGGGTTTTTTTTTTTTTCCCCCTACCAACAAAAAAAGGTGGGTTTTACAGTATTGGACCCCTTCAGCTCCTCCTTTTCTGGAGGATTTACGTTGTGAATCTCAGGTTACTGCTTAGTTTCTTCATGATATTTCTAATTGCATATGTGTGTGTGTCCCTTTTTTTTTCTTTTTTAATGTGGGAGATTTATCTATTTGCTGCCAAATTCTGTCTTGCCTTTTTTTGCTCCTACCATCTTGGTGACACTGGGGGTTACAGGAGAACCCATGTCATTTGATGTTCCTCTGCTCAAGGACCTGATGGTCCTTTTCTTGTGTCCCATAGAAGCAACTTTACATAGCTTAGATGGGTGTGGTTTTGAAGGCTGCTTTTTTATGAGTGCTTATTTATTCTCTGATATACTTAACTGCACTATTTTGGAACTCAGAACTGCTGTACCTTGGACCTTACATGAGTACAGTCATGGCTTTGAAGGTGACGCTGTAAATCTTAATGATAAAAAAATGAACTTGATTCTTTCTTGAAGGTACCAGACAGAGAGTAGGACGCCGCCATAGCATGGAGAACATGGAACTTATGAAATTAACACCAGAAAAGGTTGGCACTTTCCTTCATTTATAAGAGTTTGTCAGTGGTAGATAAAGCTGTTGATTTTGTGGATAACTCTGTTTATTTTAGAAGAGAATTAGGGAAAATCTCAGGTTGATAAAGCTATCCATTCGCTATCCAGTGAAACAAGCTCTTTAGTCCTGTCTGCTCTCGTGCTGGCATTTCTCCTCCTCCTGCTTTTCAATCCTTACTGGGAATTTTGTGTATACCGAGGCGTTACAGAAGGCTGGTTGAGTATCTGGGTTTGTATAAGGGTTGGTTTTGCTCTAACACTTTCTAAAACTATGGATTTTTGGTTTTCTTCTTTCAAATTTGAAGAATGTCAGGTGGAAAACACTAGCTGTGTCTGCATTTTAGCATTAACTATGTTTTGTGCACTGCAGTCAGCAAGGAAAACTTGCTGTTTGATTAAGTATACTCTTTGACCACATTTTCAATCATCAGGTGTCACACTCCAGTTCAGTTACAGGACCGATCCGTAACAGTACGAACCTCCTTCAAGAAATGACAGCTCTGTCATCACAGGTCAAATAAGAGAACCAAAACCCAAGTTTTCACATCCTCAAGGTTGGGTAAACTAAATTATGCAAAAGCTGCCTCAGTTTGGGGAGAAAAAGCAGTAGCAACTGAGAGGTAATAGTACAGGTAATTAAAATCAGAAGACTTAATGTCATGATTCTTGTTTTCTTAGGTTCAGAACTGGAACAGTGAGATTCTTGCTAAACAGAAACCACTAGTTGCCAAACCTTCAGCAAAACTGCATTTTGTAAATCGACTGAAAGGCAAAAAGTACAAAACCAGCACCGCTTCCAAAGTTCTGCAGGATGCCAGTAATTCTATTGATCACCGACTTCCAACCTCGCAGAGGGTAAGTTTGGCCAGCTGTGGAGATCACAGCCTTTCCTTATCTTTGTCTGATCACAATGATGGAAAACATATTCCTGCAGCTGTCTGTTTCAATTTAAACACTGTGGCTCTGTAAAAGGGTGCAGAACCCGCCCTTCTACAGCTGTCTCATGGGTGGTACCAGCTTTAAGGTCTTCCTATTATTGGAACAGTTTTTTCCTGGTGGATTTTCTAAAATTACAGCTCAGCTTGCCACATGTGTTTTATTTCTAGTGTTGTCTCAACCTTGCTTCTCCAAACTTAAAAAAGCCCTAGTTTTTCTCATTGAGCCAGTGGGAGGTATTTTTGACATTTTGTAGGTTATGGCACTCTTGACAAAAGTCAGATAAAAATAAAACAACCGGAGTCATTTGATCTAGATGAGAGATGAGTGCTTTTGACTGTAGACCTGAGGAGACAAGGGAAACTGTTCCTTGCTGTTATTTTTGGTTTTTTTTTTTTTTTCTTTCATGGGCATTTGGGGTTCTGCTGGCTTCACGGCTGAGGAGTAACTCTAGTTGTACTGCTCAGAGTACTGTTTGCTTCTGTTTCAGATAATGAAACCCTTCCCCACATCCTTGCCGTAGTATTAGCATTTCCCCGTATGATAAAATTCTGTCCATAAAATGATGACTAAGAAAAATTCATTTAGTGGATTTCAGATATGCAAACACCAAACATATTACTGCAATGAAACGGTGATGCAGTTGTCCTTGTTTTAGGTACTAGTTGTCCTCGTTTTAGGTATTCTAGAGTTCACAATACCCTGACTCTTCTCTCCTCTTCAGAAAAACAGTCGAGAGACAGTGGCAGATGAAGGGTTCTTTGATCTGCTGAGTCGATTCCAGAGTAACAGGATGGATGATCAGAGATGCTGCTTCCAGGAGAAGAACAGATTCTCAGCTGCTTCCGTGGCAACATCCTCTACTCCACCTAAAACAATGAGAAAATGTAATTTTTAAGAAGTAAAATCTATATCTGACTTTAGTTCCTGACAAATGCCATGTTAAAAATGCATTTGCTTTTAAGATTTACCATGGAAAGGAACTTATTTCTAGGCTAACTTGTTTTCTTCCTCCTGGCCAGCCTTTTCTACTTCTGCCGTCTCACCCCCCACAGATGAATTTCTAGACCTGCTTGCTAGCTCCCAGAGCCGCCGCCTGGACGACCAGCGCGCCAGCTTCACCAACCTGCCTGGCCTCCGCTTGAACCAACACACCAGTCAGGCAGTCCTGGGTCACCTCATGGCAGGCAGCAACAGAGAACTAGATGACGACTTCTTTGATATATTGATAAAATGCCAGGTAAGTTTTCTACAAAAGTTCTTCAGCTTCTGAGTTTTGGGGGATTTGATTTGTGCATCCTGCTACTTGGTTTCTTCCAGCAAGCTGCCATTTTTATCATGTGTTTTAAGACAGAAATTGATTTGGCAGATAAGGAGGAACATAGAGAACAAAATAACAGGATTTTTTTTTTCCCTCCAAATTATCCAGTGTCTAGTAAGCCTAATTCTAGTATTTATACCGGTTAACCATTTCCAGTAACAAATGCTGAAAAGGTGAATAAGCGAGGCTATTAAGAAGAATATGTAAAATGATTTTAAGAAAAAGTGGTTAGATCTGGCTTGTTGGGGGGGCACCTGATACACCAGGAATCCTAACTTACCAAATGAAAGAAATCAGTATCAAAGCTTTAGTGTGGTGATAGTGATCATTCCGTTAAATTCACGGTAATACAGCTGTGAGGTTTCCAATTGTCAATTAGAGCATGGTTTATATGCCAATTGGACCAAAGAAAATTTAATAGAACACACGTGGTCTTTTACCTGATGGGTTGATAAGCATCTCAAAATACAAAATTCAGATACTGAGTTCTCCCAGGGTCAGTATGTGTGTTGGCTTGGGTGGGAAGCAGCACGGGGATGTGAGTCTACAATGCCAGTGTTCATCAACCTGGTCAAGTATCATGTTTTGGTTTAGCCACTTGTCTGGTTAGTGCTTGCTCTCAGTTCTGCCTTTCCCACTCTGAGAGCAGCAGGGCTGTTTTTCACCCCCGGTAAAAGGAAAGGAAGATAGTTCACGGTTGCTGTTGTATGAGAGTAGCAATTCCATGTACTTGTGGGCAAAGGACACTTAGATCTTGTTCTGCAATATGAACAGGAACTAAACTGGGGGTTTTGAGATACATGTGGACAGGGCCTTTGGAGGAACCATTTTAGCTACACTTGCACTCTTAACTTTCTAATTTCACTTGAGAAGTTTAACTTGAAACAACACTTACAAATTAAATCCTTATAATAGCTTTAAATCTGAAAACAAAAGTTTTTAGTAATTTTTCAGTTATACTGTTCACTTATTCCGTTATATATTCCTGTAACTACGCGACTTTATTGCTTGGTCTGTCTCTAGGGTTCCAGATTGGATGATCAAAGATGTGCTCCTCCATCATCTGTAAAAGGACCAACTGTGCCAGATGAGGATTTTTTCAGCCTGATTTTACGATCACAAGCTAAGAGAATGGACGAACAGAGAGTCCATTTACCCTCAAGTATAAAGGGACCAAATTCTAGGTGAAGAAATAAAACAGGCACATACTGGACAGTAGTAACTTTGGTATCCTTTTTGTTTGCTGGAAAAACATACATGCCTTTTTACAGACTGCAATTAGTAGTTTTGTCCCCTTTCTAATAATTTTTTGTACAAATAGCAGCAGCAGCACACTTGGGACCAGTAGTTGGAGTTGCCGCTGCTCTCTGTGGTTGGCAGCTGCTTGGAGCCATGTCTGAGACTGCCTCTAGTCTGTGAACACTAATAGGAAACTTTTTTCCCTGTCAAGGTATTCTCGTTGCTGATTTGTGGATTCTACCACTGTTTCCATGTAGTGTAAGACCTAAATTTGTATGTTCTTTTTAAAGAAAACCTGATTTTTTTTTTCTGATTTGTACTTCCCTGGAAGAAGGTCCTGTTTTCTTTTATACTTTTTTTAAAAATTAACAAAAAAAAAAAAAAGAGAGAAATAGCTTCAGTACTTAGTCTGTCTTTGTGTCTTCCAAACTGTGTTTCAGCAATACTTTTTATTAAAAAAGTAATTAAAAAAAAAATTCCAACTAATCCAACTGTAGTTTTATTTCTGTTTAATCCCAAAACTCTTTTCAAAACATGCTGGGGTTTTGGTACTATTTAGTTAAATGTTTCCTGTATTACTCAGTGCAGTTTTACAATCAGAATTTTCAAAGACTATATGCTTGTTTTCAAGTAACAGCTGCCAGTGCCGCTCTGTGGCCTGTGTGGTACGTGTCCAGCACCAGCCGTGGTGGGGACTTGGCACGAACTACTGTGGAGATCAGGTAATTCCTGCTGTAAGTGAACCCGAAATGTTACAAACAGTAACTGTCTGCACATGGGTAGTACTTGACCTCAACTACTTCTCCTTCCCACGGTAAGGATGTGCTATGCTGGGGGAGTTCTTGGGAATGACAGTTGGAAGTTGGTCTTCCCCCTGGCTGATTCCTGTACTGAGGTAGTTCTTGGGAACCCTGCGATTAGATGTTGTTTTAAGTGTAAGTATCTTGAGTTAGAAGCCACTGATTTTGTCACATTTGGTGTTAAACTGTTCACTTCAGGTGTTTATGTCATGTAACTTTAACTGAAGTATTATAGCCCTACACAAGAATCTACAGTTAATTTTAGCTTCAGAGTAAAACAGCATTGTAAGAATAGTTAAGCACACAGAGGCTCTACATAATTCAAACTATTTTACAATTACTAAAAGTTTAACAAACATTCTCTAGCAGCTTTTTTAGCCATGCAATGGATTCCTATTGAAACTCGCCTCCTCCTGCTTTTAAGGAGAAATGCCAGAATAGTCTTTCCAACCCATGTTTTACCATCAGTTTATGGTGCTGATCTTCAGTACTTAGTGCTTCCTCTCCCCTGGTCAGCTCTCAATTGCCCTAAGAAACCATCCCATGCAAAATCAGCTTCTCACTCCTCTGCATTATCAAACTAGCAAAAAATCATCAAGCTGTCTTAGAACTGAGCTGACAAGCAGAAACTCTATGTAAGGTTGAGTTTAAAGGATATAAACCAAAGACAGTCCAGTGTAGTTGAGCTGCAGTTGGTCTTACGTGAATTACATGAATTTCAGAAGCTTTCTCCAGATTGTTGGACAGTTACCTGATTAGGCCAAAGTTGGCTAGATCACAGAGCATCCCTGCTGTCCCACCACAGAATATCTAGTTTCCTGTAAAACTTACTATGCGTACTTGCTTTCAAACAAGCAGCAACACCTATAAGCCTCTTCTCCTGGCCAACTGAAGTTGTATTGTCTTAATGCATTTATTTTAAATTCCAGAAACAATACGTGTACTCAGTCTCTCAGTTTTTAAAGCCCCACCTCACAGTTCTGCTTACTACTGCCCTGACCAAAGATGAGTTCCCATCCACTTACTGATGTTTTCTACAGCTGAGAACTAGAACAGAATGAACAAGTATGTGACAACTAAAGGTTAGACAAGACTTACAGTCACGCTTGGGGCTTCCTTAGTCTCCTTCCTGTGCGTCACATGAACTGTTCTTTTTCTTCTCTTCACATGGTTCCATTGCAGAACTTTTCCCTTCCAGGTTTTTATTAGGATCACAATTTTCTCCAGTCTCCAGCTCTGCTTTGCCTCTCTCCTCTTTCTGCTGCTCAGGTGCATATTCTTCAGTAAGGTTTTCAGCTGTGATAGTTTCTAGTCTACAAACTTCAGACTCAGTGTGCAACCTATTCTGTAAAAATTAATAATAAGCTATTAATTAAGCAATCCAACTTGATGGCATATATTGCTTCAGGTGCATCTCAGCTCAAGGGGCAGAACTCTCCAAAAGCATGACTGTTTTGTTTTGTTTTTTTTTTTTTTTTCCCTGGGGAAACAGTACATGTAAGCAAGCACCATCTAGAGTATAACTGTTTTTTTAATTTTCTATAGTTTACAGAAACATCAGCAGTGTTTTCTTTCCCCACCTTTCCTCTATGGGTAATCATTATTGCACAGACTGACCTAGTACTGATCTCTCCAAACAAGTCTTTATCGTAACGAGTTTTAATTCAGTAGTTCCCTGCCACAGTTAGCCATTGCCCAGTACTTTTCCAGAACAAAACATGCCCACGATACCTCTGCCAAACTGTTCTATAGGGGAACAGGTACTTCCTTAACTCCTCTCTCCCCAGGATTTGGGTTAAGCGGTTTTAAACATGTTCTAGCAGATGACACTGAAATCTATTCAATTTAATCCCAGCTCAAAGAGCACCAGGACTAACATACACCAGGTTTTGCTTTCTGAGACTCTTCTACTTGCATATCTGGCTCAGTGCTTGTATGCACGACGTTGCTGCCATTTCGTGGTCTCACAGGAGCATCTCCTCTGTCATAAGGTCCTCTACAAATATAAGGAAGCTTCTGCATGTGATAGCTGTCTGCTTTACTGCCATCATACTGCCCAAAGTCTATTTTCTCCTGTTGCCTGTCAGGTAGAGGAAGACTTTTCTTCTGAGAAGATGTTAAGTATCTTAACACAGACACTGATGATCCAGCACCATAGCAGAAAGCCTGGGAAAAAAAACAACAAAAATCCAAAAGAACAAAACATCACAGATTTGCAGTCTACAGTTTTCACACAGAATTCCACGTCACATCTGAAAAAGACTGAAGGAACAGCTCAGGGGATCAGACTGGCTACAATTCAAGCTTTCTGCAGTCTGACCACGCTGCAGGAACTGGCAGACTGGATGTAGCTCATATTTGGTGCTGCTATAAAGATGTTGAAGGCTCTACCTCAATGCTTTTGTGTAGAAATGCCAATGACATGCAGCACTGTGTAATGACACAAAGAAGAAATGGTAACTAAGCTGCAATAACCTGTCATAGACTCTAAGACTTCAAGCAGTTTAATGCTATTTTATCCCAGTGGGGGAGAGATGCACTTCAATTAGGAACTTAGCTATTTTAATTGCTAAACCAACTATATCAGGAAAAAAATTCCCTTGTAGAAATAATTTCATGTGTGCCAAGAAATCTGTTCAGTAGTACAAATAAGAAATAAATGATAGTAGTACTTATATTTAAGTAAGTTAAAAAAATAAAACTGAGCTTTTACATATAAAATAAATATATACAAACCAGGACAGCCAGAGCCATCATAATTAGGACTGGAACCTGCAGAATAAACGGTATGTCCTTCATCAGTGCTTTAATGAATTCACCAATACCTTGTCCTACGTGCTTCAAAGGCTCAGTTACAAAGTTGGTGACAGTAATTGCCAGTGCCTAGAAAAATACAAATAGAAAAATAGTGTTGTCACTGTTTACAAATGTAAACTTGAACAGTCTCTTTAGCCTTGGCTTTTACCTTTGTTGGTGGAACCAGCAAAATGGGATTTACTAGTAGAGTCTCATAGTACTTCTGACAGGGATCGTCCTGAAATGTCCATTTACTTCTGAGCCATTCTGTAGTCAAAGCAGAGGCATATTTAAAAAAAAAAAAAAGTCTTTTCTGACACAGTTGTAACACAGAAAGTAGCATTTCAATTATAGATGGAAGAGAACTCTTCTAGATATGGTTTGAAGCCCAGGTATATAATCTACAATCTGAGATCATCTTGGCAGTGTAGTTTATCCAGTCATGGGGATGCAGGAAAGAGAGGGAAGGCTGCGGAGAAGAAACAGAGGCTTTCCCATGTTTGGTAAAGAAATATGTCTTTACCTGATGAGCTTAGTCCCTAGAAGACTCAGAAAAAAAATAAGTCTTGTCTGTGGGAAGTATCTAGCACATTTGGTCCACAGCTACTGAAACAGAATTAATTCTCAGTGTTACTAATCTGCCAAGCTGCAAGTAGATTAAAAACGTGTATTTTGCTTGCTAGATTTCAAGACGCTATTTTAGTTATAAGCAGAAAGTCTTACTCCTTAAGGCAAGTTTTAAGTTATAAACAATTTCTGACATGAGTGCTTCTGTAGTTTGATTTTAGTGCAGTGATAACATAAACCCTTGAAACTTCACCAACAGCAATCACAGCCAATAAATTGTAAAGGGAAAACCACAGCAAGCACGCATTAACAGTTGGCATCATTAATCTGCCTGCTATAGCACTGGCTAACAACGGCTGGTGAAAAAATTCTGCTCTCTTTATAAAATAACACTACTAGACTAGGTAAGTACAGCTCTAATTTCTGAAGTCCATTGTACTCACAGGCCTGGAAGATGTAAAAAAAAAAAAAAAAAAAAAAAAGATATCTTGATTTCTGCCTTCCTACCTTCAATAGACAGCACTGAACGGTCCTGGGGGAGGAACTGGGGAAACACTCACAGGGTAAGTTATAAGGAAAAACACCGTGTAGAAGTAACACCGTGACGTGCTCTAAGCACAGTTTTGTGATCGGCTCTCCTTCAAACACCTAGAAAATAAACTCTTGTGGAACGGAAAAGTGGTAAAACCCCAATCACGTATTGCTGAAGCAGCTTCAATGTACTACTCATGAGGAAATCAGACTATTGGATACCATTACTAATTCTTTTGTGATTATTACAAAATCATGAAACAAGTATTTACCAGTAAGACTTTCCCGCCAGTCCAACTTCTCAGCACAGACATTATCAAACTGCTCCATTTTTGCAATTTCTGCTTGACGCTGTGCAAAGGCCAGCTGCAGGAAAATAGGAAGTACTTCTAAAACACAAAGCAAGGCAGTGCTGGGCACGTGACACCTGCCTCCATGCAGCACTGCACCTGAGCTGACAGCATTTCTTCTTAGCAGGTTTGGGATACTCACCTCAGGAAGTCTGTATTAAGAATGCTTCCTCAACAATTTAACAGAGTTAAATTCTAAGCACTTCCTGGGGATGGATAAAAACTACCAAGATGGCCCCCTCTGAGTTATTCCCGAAGTAGCATCTGAATTACCAAAAGAGTAAACTTCAATATTCAAAGATACAAGTTCAGAGCAAAAGCGATCTGACATATTGTTTCCTTAAAATGTTTCTGGATTAAAAGAGAGGCAGCTGCCATGCAATTACTAGTTAAAACAATGACATTCTCTTTTATTTTTTAAATAATTCCCATTAACAAATACCTGTATTCATTATAATTTTGCCTTGCAGTTTGCCACTGATAATCAAATAGACAAAAGTCAAATCATCTGTTGAAAAACGACACTATTCTTCACGGACTCAATCTAAGCCCTCGGCATGGCACCCCACTCGTGTTCAAGAGCCATCCTACCCACTGGCAGCCCACTGCTCCTGGCTCTGACAAGCTGCCGTTAAATTCTGATGACAAGATGTTAGGACCACGATTTTGTGGTTGGGCTGTGACCTAACAGTATAATTTCCTCCTCACAAAAACCAGTGCCATTGTACAGTCAACTACTTAGTCACCAGGAATGAAGCATTTATCTCTGGTCTATCACGTGCTAAATACAGTTTCAGCCAGGGAATCCTTAGAAAGAAAAAAACAAACCACATTATATTTTCGTAAGACCTTTCTACCAAGCTGCTTTAGACAGAGTTCACATCTCCCTTGCCCATGCAGTGAAAGCACAGTTCTACTGCTTTATGAATTCTGCACACCTTTGTAGCAGGATAAAAACTGGCAGGGTTTCTTTTGTTCTTTTTTATGCCTAATACACCTGTCAACATGCAAAAGAAAATGCTCATCCCTTTAGTTTGTGGTTAACCATTGCTTTACATAAACTAACTAAAGGAACTAAATAAACTGAACTCCCTCCTAACTGTAAAATCTGAAGCCTAAATGCCATTAATATTTCAGAACAACTTACCTTATACAAGTAAAGCCAATTCCATGCAAAACTGATGAGAAAACTTATTATTAAAACACGTTTTAGTTGAACGAAGCGATGAATATGTGTCCAGAGCTCTGTAGCTATTACAATTACAATGCACACTAAGCACAACAGTATCTGAAAAAGGAAACAGGAAAAAATCATGATCAAGATTTGGAATTTTCCAATCTTACTGCCAGTACACATCAAGAAACTTCCAGCTTGTTTTCACCAGTATCATTCATACAGAACACTTGAGACAATTTTTCCTTCCCTTCACAAAGTTTCTGCAGCAGTACAAGGTGGAAGTTTCACAGTAGTACTAGTAGTCGCCATTCCTATCGCAGCCTTACACTGTAGTTGCTCATTTCTTTCTTGTGATATTTAGTTATTTTTTCTTAATGATATTTATCACACTACCTACCATACTTTAATATTACAAAATTGACATAATGCAGCGCTCGAGTAGAAGGTGCCAGGTAGGAACCACAGAACCAGTGCTGCCGACCCCCGCAGTTTGGTTAAGAGGCAAAGTTCGAGGCTGGTAACAGCAACACGCCTTCAGAGCAGCACTTCACAGTCTCTTTCCATCTGAGGACTCCTAACAGTGAGGTTGCACTACTGACAGCTTGCTTCTTTCATTTGGCTTCCAGAGACGCCCCTCAAAACTAGACAGGCTGTTTTCAAGATGTTAGCATATTCCAAATTGTAAAGATTTATTCAGAGAGCTTCAGTTTATCCAACTGGATAAGCTTCAGCTTCAGCTGACTGGAGTGGGGCTGTTGATGGCTACAGGCTGTTTTGAAGGGACAGGCAAAGGGGTTGCTATCTACATCAAGGAACGGATTGAGTGTGAAGAGTCCTCTCTGAAGAACAGCCATGAGCCGGTTGAAAGCTTATGGGTAAGAATCAGAGACTGGGGCAACAAAGGGAACCTTGTGGTTGGTGTCTACCAGAGGCCACCCCATCAAGGGGAGGCTATTGATGAAGCCTCCTGGTTCCAGCTACAGGAGGCACCACACTCTCAGGCTGAGAGAGTTGGGGGTGTTCAGCCTGGAGAAGAAGAGAAGGCTTTGGGGAGATCTTATAGGGGCCTTCCAGTGCTTAAAGGGGGCTACAGGAAAGGTGGGGAGGGACTTTTTAGCAGGGCCTGTTGTGACAGGAGAAGGGATAATGATTTTAAACTAGCAGAGGGTAGATTTAGACTAGATATAAGGAAGAACAATGAGGGTGGTGAAACACTGGAACAGATTGTCCAGAGCGGTGGTAGATGCCCCATCCAGGGAAACGCTCAAGGCCAGGCTGGCCGGGGCTCTGAGCAACCTGATCTGGTTGAAGATGTCCCTGCTCATTGCAGAGGGTGGGACTAGATGACCTTTAAAGGTCGCTCCCAACCCAAACTATTCTATGATTAAATAATTCCTCATCTTAGCACCTTGTAATTCCATTTTACAGAATATCACGTTTTCACAAAGTCGTGTTCTCCTCTCCAACACTATACAATTTTTTTCTACAAATTTCACAAAAACTTCTAACCTACAATCTCTAAGACCTCAAATATATACATGTCTCAATATAAACATATTCCAACTCCTGCAGAAACCAACAGCTTCAGCACATATTTGAATAAGAGACAAATATGGAAAATCTATTCTGTGCGAGTTGTCAGTTCAAGTGACAAGTACGTACTAGAGTTTAATGAGTCAAAAAACTGCAAAGCTACAGTAAGAAAAAATGACCACAGGAATAAAAAACTTGAATTCAAGTGAATAGATTGCTTCTACCTTCAGTAACAATGAAACAAAAGTAGTGACTTGCTGTAAGTATGCTGTAAAGAACTGCTTTATGCTTGGAGTTAAGATGGTAATATTCACTGGCTAAACTTGCACAAAGAAACTGGAGAAAATAGCAATTAAAACACAACAACAAAAAAGATCTTTCTTTTTGTCTTACCAGAAACATACTATATAGATCAATTCCAAAAGTGTCTTCAAATCTCCAGTGCCAAGCTTTATAATCATGGTGCTTAAAATTGATCAAAATATCACTAAGTGCATCATCCACAGCACCTGACTGCCAAGTTTCCTCATTGAGAAACCTGAGGATCTCCAAATATGTCTGTTTTGTAAGGATGATCTCAGCATCATAATGGACTTGGCTCACATCTTCCTCAGGCTGAATTAAAAGCAAAGCAAAATGATCGTTAAAAGCTGCTTATTTGGAGACAGAAGTACATACAAGAAACTGTACCCCTATGCAAAAACCTGGTCATATACCCTATCATCATGTACCAGCCCCTTTCTGAAGCAGACTGCAGGATGAAGACATGGAACAGGGAGCATACTATGATCCTACAGCCTTTTTGTTCCTTCTTCTGAACTATAGAAAACACTAATTCAGCTGGTTTGTACTCTTTCGATTCTACGGCAAAAATCTAAAATATGAAGTGGGTTATCTCATCTGCTATTAAAATTTTAAAACTACTTCTCATTAACAAGTGATAATTACTAATGCACTATTTGTGCCCTGATCATGGCAGGGCAATACAGACAGAAGCTATTAAATACTGAAATAAGAAATTTTACATTGCTTAGTGTAACGTTCTTTGTTAAATATTAATTTTGCTTATTCATAATGTATTCCTCTACCTCTGAGTAAAAAAAAAAAAATCTCTGAAGACAATATAATAAAGATAGTAATGAGGTGATTCTTATATGCAAACTCTAATAAGCTACTACTGCTCGACAGTTAACGTGGTAAAGTCTAAAAGGCCTAAAGGGTCTACAGCAAACAAACAAAATACGGCTCTTTCAGGTTTAACAACCATTAACATGAAGTGAATGGAGTACTACTACAGTTGCATCCCAGCAACAACAGATACTTAGATACAAACTCTGAATTCACACAGTCTTCCTTTGGATGCTTTATACACCAAAGACAACTGTCTGTCTTGAGCAAACACTGCCAACTAACAGCAATACTTCAACCACATGCTTCTATCATTTCTTCCTTTGCAATTCAGTTAATTTTAATTTACATTTAAAGTATGCCAGAATAATTAATCAATATTTCATAACTGTGATAAACACATATAGTAGTAATATGAATTCTAATTAATTTTTAATGACTGTTCAAATACTTACAAGGCCAAGTTTTCCAACTTCATTTAAAATCTTATTCAAGTATCGCTTAAAAATATAAAAGCTACGGCTTTCACGTGATTCGGCATTCCTCTTCTCACAGTCTGCCATCTGCAACGTAAGGACATTTTATTCACTTCTTGCTCAAACTGGCTTGTTCATAGGAGAAAAACAACCCTACCAACACATTAAACTCAGGATTATCAGATGCACATTTCTTTACTTTAGCAATAATCCCATAATTAGTACACCAGGTAAAAAGCGTATGCAGCTGCTGAAGATAGTACTGTCCATGGGACTGGCCAGTTACTGGAGAGTTCAGATCTGCTAATAATATGGTTTGAATACTAACCTCAGTAACTCTAGAGAAAAATTAAAGAATGGAATCTCCTTAAGTTTTAAGTTTATATCAGAAAAAAAAAAAGAAACAACCCTGTAAAAAATACTAAGTAACTAAAACAACATTACAATTGGATATCCCACTGGGTTTCCAAATGGCTGAGGGAAGCGAGAGCCCGGGTAGCTACAGAAGCATCACTGCATCCTCCTGATGCCAGAGGAAGCAGCAGCGCGCAGGTCTTCCCAGCGGCTTCTGAGAGCTGCAGCACTGCACGTTACGCGCTCAGCCACACCGTGTTTCTCTGCCCACAACCCACCCCTTAAAATCCAACTGAACTGAACAAGTTGAAAATGAAAGGTCAGGTTTCTTAGCTTTTGCCAGCATGGTGTAGCATCAACATAAACTGTTGATGCTGGACTGAAGCACGTAGCTCCCATCAGCTTCTGTCATAATATAAAACATTTCAAGAAACAGACCTCGGTAGGCAGAGCAGCAATTTGGAATTGAGTTCAAACAACTTCCAGTCTCTCCTCTGACTGAAGAGGTTCCCCCTACATACTGCACAGTCTCTCACTAACTATGCCAACAATTCACTGCTATCCAGAAAAGCATCATCAGAAAGCACAAACCATAAAAGGCTGGAAAATATTCTGAAGTTCCATAACAAACCTTCTGTTGCAAGGAATCTACTTCCCTGGAACAACTCAGTAAGATTTCATCACTGGCTGTATCCGCAGTCTTATCCCCAGAGTCATGATAGTTTGCCTAAAATTACAGAACAAAACCACATACTTGTAATATCAAAGAATTTGAGCAACGTGCCATGCTACGCTTCTGTAGTCAGACCACTTCAAATGGCACAAAGGACCAAAAAACTGAGTGCTGGTCTTTGCTGCTAATACTCTCCCAGTGATACCCCAGTTACCTCTCTGCTGTTACTTTTGGCTTCAAATGGACAATTGCTTTAAGTTTATCTAAATACACACTGCCCTCAAAAGGTGAGGTCGCCACGTGGTGCATCAGATTAGATAACCGGACCGGCTGAAAACCGACTCAGCAAGCCAAGGGGGGCAGTTTTCAGCCAGGCCACGCAGCCTGCCAGACGGAAAGTAAACACAAAGCCCCGCTCTGGGTTGCATGCCTTTCCTTTCACATTTCCTCTTCACTCTGAAACACCCCATTCTTTCTGTTAATCGCTCAGACTTCGTTTTAGCAATGCTGTTCCTACACAGCCAGGCATGCACATTGAGGAGGCTCCAATAGGAAGTGCAGCATCACGCCAATCAGTGAATTTGTGCTGATACAAAATTTGGTTTTGAGGACTCGGCTGGCTTACACAGCCTGCCTACCTGAAATGCCTCACTGCAGAGCAGAAAAGAAATCCTGAAAAGATTAACCCAAAGCAGACATTTTTCTCCTTTAAAATGCAGTTCTATTTTTGTGGGAGACAACAGTAAAACTCCTAATATTTTTTTTATAAAAGAAGAACCAGTTGGGCACCAAGTTTAAAGACTTCAGAGCTTGCTGCTGAATTTTAGGGATGCTAATGACTATCAGGTGGACATTGGACAGGTGGAGACTGAGGGGGAACTCTGTGGAGAATAATAATGCAGTCTGTATTTCTTCAGCTTCAGAAAATTATCTTCTGAAGTGTTAACGTGGTACTAGTCAGGACTGCAAAACCAAACTTGAAAGCCGAAGAATAACAAAAAAATCAAGGGTGCCCACACAACCAACCAGTTAGCAGTGCCACGTGTGCACACATGTACTAGATAAACAATCTGCATCTCACCATGCATGCAGAGTCCACCCTTCATACAAGACAACCGAGACGATTCACATCGTTAAAACTACCTTTTCATATTTTATCTTCTCCTCAATGTTCATGAATTATTAACACTCAAGTACAACACTCAAGCCCCATTCTGATCTTCCTTCTGAAAACTCTGATGCGCAGTATTATAAAACATCATAATAGTCTCACACAATATATGGGGTTTATTCCCATATAGCTGGGGAAATAGACAATTCAAGCAAAATATAAGCGTTCGCCTTAACTCTCCCAACTTTTATATCAGCGATAAACTTAATTTTCAAGACATTTAACACTATACTTGAGAAACTAGCAAGAGCTGCTTAACCCAGTACTTCTCAGAGAGATAACTTATGGAGCCACAACTTGCAGAAATCAACAACCACCTGTGAGAAGACAGAAGAGCATGGTTCCTGTGACTTGACCAGTGTGCAATAAAAATTTGTCAGTAAAAGGCCCTGAGCTAATTACCTACAATAAAATGGATTTCTTTTTTTCCATTGCAATTTTAACAATAGACACACAACACTTTTCTATGTATAGGTGGACACACAACACTTTCTGTGTATAGGTTCAGATGTAACATTATACCATCTTGAAAAGACTATAATTCTAGAATTTTCTAATGTCATGATTATCTTTCAACAGTATGTGGTTAAAAGACTGTTTGGGAAAGACACATATGCATGCACCCTTTCTTTTTTTACCTTGTAAGGTCTTCTCATTGTTCCTGATGCTGCATCGTAATTGAGCATATCTGTGGGGTCAATCCACTCATCATCTTTAACTTTACCACTCCCTGCCAGCACAGCTGCACACAATACCAAAGGAAACAGCATCCTGTATTACTAAATATAACAAGAAAATCAGATATTTAGTTCTGGGTGCAACACACTAAAAAAACTGAAACGAGCTTACAACATGAAAAAAGTATTACCCAGTGTGGTTTAAAAACTCTGTTCCCCATTAACCAGGTTAAACTTCAGTTACGTCGTTTTTCCCCCCTCAGGAAAACCCTGTCACGAATATGCAACAATTAAGTTGTACTATATTACCGGATCAATACAACTGGCTATAGTACCCGGCAGGGGCGGCGCGGAGTTCAGCATTGCTAAAAAGGATAAAACGGCGCAGAACTCCTCCAGGCTTCGGGACGAGGGTCCAGCAGCGTTCCCGCCGCGGAACCGCGACAAGCCCCGCCGAGGCCGCGGCCCCGCTCCCGCTGCCCGGCCCCGGGCCTGCCCCCTCGGCCAGGCCGGCTCCGGGGCCGCCCGCGCAAAGGCCGTACGAGCGCCCAGATCGCTCTGAAAACGCTCCCCACCCCCCCGCCCTGTATTTGTGGGGGCTGCGCTGTCCCCCCCAGCCCCCGCCCCAGCTGACCGCGAGGAGCGCGCTGAGGCCCGGGCGCGGCGCAGGCCGGGCCCGCACCACGGGGCTGCCCCCACGCGTTACCTCAGGAGCGGCCGCCAGGCCCGGCCCGGCCCGCTTCCGCAGCGCCAGGCCCCGGGGCCGTCGGGGCGGGATCCGCTCTCCTCGGCGAGGGCCCTCAGCCCTGCGCGCCCGCCGCTGCCGCTCGCCCCGCCCCGGGAGAAGCCGCTCTCTTCCGCCGTCCGGCGGCGGGCGCCCAGGCCCCGCCCGGCCCCAGCGGCGAGGGCGGCAGCCGCTGGCAGGCGGGAGCTGCGGCGGCACCGCGGTTGCGTCCCCTCCGCCTCCCCCCCGCCCCGCCCCGCCCCGCCCCTGGGAGAGCGCAGGCCGCAGCAACTCCCCCCGCCTTCATCCCCTCCCCTTCCCCAGCTGGTACCTGATTTTTTTTTTTTTTTTTTTTTTTTTTTTTTTTAGTTTCGCCTACAGTTCCAGGCAGTCGTGCAGGAGACTTCCCTTCAGTAAACAGTCAAGGGGTGGGAACTCCCACATCAGAACGGCTCAGAGATCACAAGAGGCAGGGACATAAAACGACAGATGTAGGACTATATCCTCTCTGTAAAGACACAAATTGTAATAAAAAAAATCATTTAGGGAAAGTACTACTTAAATAGTTGTAGTGCTAATTAAAAATAGGCTGCCAGGACAAAAGGGAGCACAGAATTTTCCTCCAAAGCAGCATTAGAACCTTAACCTGTGTGTCCAATCTAGAAAATAAACATTGTTTCAGCTCTGTGCTACTGTGTTATTACTTACCACACTGCAACATCAGATACTTGGAGGTAGCATGAGAGATCTAAGGTCTTTCATAGTTCTAGGCACAAACCACATTTTCATGTCTGGTTTAAGTATCAGAGTTAATTATAAACAACAGACAAGACAGCTGCAGGTGTTGGAGGTCTTTATTGAGATTATAGCACAGATACACTTCTATAGTTACCTTTCCACTTTTATACGATAGTTAAAAATGCTTGCTACAGTGCACATATAATTTAGTAACCAAGAGAATCCAAAACTTAACTGCAGTTCAAATAAATAAATAACCTAATGCTTAAGGTTTATATTTTAATAAGGAAAAGGAACTGTACAATATGAAAATATAACAATACATAAACATTAGAATCTAAAGTTTTGTAGAAATAAAACTGCAATTTCCCATACATAAACAGTGCAAGAAATAAAATTCAGGTAAGCTTCTGAACTGGGAATTTAAACAATTCTTAAATTATCATGCAGACATAGCATTTTAAGCCATGCTGGTTTCTATTGTAGCATTAATGGTATCCCTTTTTTTTGAAAAACTGATAGCCATTAAGCTCACTGTGACAACTGCTGCCAATCCACTCTTTCCTACAGTACATTATACACAGAGGTATTCTGTTGCATTCAAAAAGTCAACTATTATAGGTTTCTACAGCAAAAGAAAGAGTATTCAATTTTACTTTTTCCTCCCTCCAACATGTTACCTTGTTCAAAACAATGTCAGGTAGTAAAACCAGCAACATTTCCCCCAGTTTAGATGAAAAAAGAAAAAACACCACACTATATAATGGACCGTAATCAAGATGTGGTTACTGCCTAGTCACCTTTAAAGTTCACAATTTATTACTAAAAAAGTTGAAATTGTGGAGATAAAGTTTGACCTCTTGTTGAGAAGTGATGAATATAATAAATCTGAAAAGACAGTGGAAGTAATTTCTCTTGTGTGTATGTGTGACTAGTTACATACAGACTCAACTGAAGTACTGTTCAACTTAGTTTTCTATATAAACTTCTCATTGAGGCAAAGACCAAGGAATGCAATTAATACCAAACTGTAAACACGTCATTCATGTTGCTCTGAGTGCACATCAACAACATAGGAGTTCTCCTCATAGACTTTGGCAACAAGACTAGGTCACATAGGTCACAGCAGCATGAGTTCACATGGAAGACTGAAAGCACTGCAAAAGAACATACTAAAAACACCAAGACCTCCTAGAAACCAGAAAAATCCGTGACAAGTGCCCCTCCTCTTGACAAGACACTCTTCTGCTCAACTGCTGCTCTCTCAATGCCTAATTATTATTACTTTGTTTTTACAGTTCTGTAGTCTCAGGTCTCTGTGCTTTAGCTGCATAGGTTGCCTTTGTTTGCATTCTAGCCGTTGTAAGTCCAAAGGGTTACAGTTCTGTCTGCAGAAGACGACAAGAAGGAAAGATCTTGTGTGTGCCATCTGCACTGAATAACTTTGTCCTTGTGCTCTCCCACCACCATAAGAGGAAGCTGCTTCGTCAGGTCTCCTATGGCAGAGGAACAGACATCATTAGTCATTTCATGAATTCATATTCCAGCTCTTTGGCTTTCTGGGGTGGGTTTTCTGTGGTGTGTGAGTTTGTTTTTTTCCTGTTCATTTAGTAAAGCTTACAGATGTATTTCACCTTATGAAGCATACTTGACCCCACTCTCTCTCTCTCTCTCTCTCTCTCTCTCACACACACACACACACACACAGAGCATGACACAAAGCCCCAGTGTTTTGTTTTTTAGGCATTACTCACAGTACAGCTTTAAAACACAGGCATTCATGGTTTTCACACAATGTGATTAAAATTCAATGGCCCAAGAGTATCAAGTCAATTAGATATACCTGACATCGTCTTTCCTTGTAACTCTTCCCAATAAAAATAAGCATCATTATGATTTTCTCTTTTTTTTAAGGGTTAGTTTTAAGAATGCTACCTGAAAGCAATGGCCACCTCAGACAACAGTGTTAATTAGTTCCTTTATCATAATCGGAGCCTCCCCCCGCAACAAGATTTAGTTCACGGCCTACATTCTTAGCAACGCAACTAGCCAACCGTGAACTGACACAATCACATTTCTATACATTTCAAACCCTTCAAAGCTCTATTATTGTTTTCCCCTTTTAAACTAAAACCTGATCTTTGAACAAAGTTCTCTTACAATTTCAGTATTAGAAGCACCAAGTTGAAAATTAACCTAGTATCCTTCGTAGTAGGTTACCTTGCAAGTCCGTCACCTTTATTTTCATATCATATGATCCTGTGAGCAAGTAGTGTGCCCCTGGAGAGAAGCGAACAGAACGAACATCACTGGAATGAGGATGATAGCTCTGCACCATTCGTCCTCCTCGAATATCGTACAACATACAGCTAGAGTCCTCTTGTCCTGTGGCCAGGAGACGACCACTAGGATCAACAGCTACCGAGGCTACAGCACTTCCTACAGGAGAAAAACAACCCAGACAGACACACGTTATACTTATGCACATTTGTGCAAATAGCCAACCTTTTTTTTAAAAAAAATGAAAATGCATTGTGCAAGAAAACCAAATGCTGGTCTTAAATTTAAGGTGAACATACCTAGCTACTGTTATCTTAAAATAAGAAAATTTTTATGTTCTAGCACTTAAAACTCTGAAGCCATAGGCCACACAGGAATGGTAGCAAGGCCACTATTTAAAGCTGCCTAAGAAAAAAAATGTCTGTTTCATCACAGGAAAGAGTGATTCTTTATGAAATAATGTAGAACTATGCAAGGAAGTCCCCCCTCCCTCCTAATTTACTGTCCTCCCCCCCCCCCCAGGTTTCAAGAACCAGATCTGAGCCCAAATGGTTCTTAATAATCTTTCTGTAGATTTCTATAGAGTATGTCGATGACTTGCAAAAATGGCTGCTTTTCCTTTGATTCTGAAACAGTTATCCTGTGTCTTGTTTTAATGTACTTGGAAGTGGCTGTTTTAAAGTCACAAAGCAAAAAAATAGCCAACTTTTCAAAGGAAACATTACCTTAAATAAAACCAAACAGAACATACATGTAAAGATATCCTCACAACTTCTTTCTTTTAAAGCTCAGGCTCCATTCTGTGATGCAAAAAGCCCTTACATTCACACTTTACTACTAAGACATCTTTAAAACATATTTTTGTGCAAGAACAATCAGAAGCATGATAGCAAGTCTTACCTGTTCCATGAAACGTTGTTCCTACAACACGAACACAGCTTGGCACTCTCAGATCCCAAAATCTTACAGTCTTGTCTTGGGATCCAGATGCAATCATCCAGCCGCTCCATGTATAAAGTGCTAAAATATGACCTGTGAACAAGACTTCTTTATTTGATCAAGTACCATTAATCAGATAATGAAATATTAAAGTTCTGATTATATTTTTGCATTCAGAGATTTAACAGTCCTGTGGAAAACCTGCAAATTGCACGATCTACAATGCCAACAATATAAGGCAATACTCAGCTTTGCATCTTCTCTGGAATGAAACATGTACTCTCTTCATTAAACTAATAGCCAACATATTTAAAAACGAACACTCCCCATTTCCCTCCAAAATACCTCAAGAGCAAGAAAAGTCTTACTAGGAAGAAAACCAGAAAGACTTTAAAAAAAAAAAAAACAAAAACAAAAAAACAACACAAAACCAAAACAACCCTAAACCAAGAACTTACTGTAATAGAACAGACTTTAAACATGCGAGAGAAGCAGCAACATACATACCAGTGTGACCACTTAAAGCATGAAGGCCTTGTCCTCGCTGACAATCTGTTGTGTAAATATTACAGTCCCCTGCTCCAGCACTTATTAAAATAGCACCACCACTTTCTGGGCCTTCCATAAAAGCAAGGTCTCTGATTGTCCCATCATGCATGCTGAACTCCAAATCTGGTCCTAAAATAATTTAAAAATCGAGAAACAACGTGAGGCATACCTCTGTGTATTACTGTTAGTGCTGCAATCTCCAAAGCAGCTACAGTGATAATACAGAATATTTTAGGCAACTGAATCACACAGAACAAGATAACCTAAGTTCAAAACAGAAAACATAAGAGCCATATGCAGTGTATTGATTAGCAGGGTTGGGCGTGGAAAATAGTATTTGCTGGGACAAAAGCCTTAGACTTCTATGATGGGGGAAAAGATGACAGAACTAGGCAACAAAAAGGGAAGCTGGAAGTAGAAATAAATGCCTACTGACAATCATGAACTAGAGTTGAGTAAGAACATCTGGCTGTTCTACTGTATCTGGAAGAAAGAAAAAAAAAAATCTACCAGAAAACAGCACAATACTAGTGTTGCAAAACAAACAAAAAACCACACCAAACAAAACCCAAAAGATAATCCCTAACCCCTCACTGGCTCTTTGCTGGACAGAGACTAGAGTGATGGTGAAAGGCAAAAGACACCAAGTTAATCCAAGTACTAGAATAAAATTAACAAAATCCATTAACTACA